GAAATACCCCCGTTTTCGAGGCTTCGTATGAATAACACGTTCGTCGAAGAATGGCATATGACACATCGCTGAAAAGCTTATTCCTTCATCTACACGCTCGTAACATCGCCTGTTTTTTTTTTTTAGTTATAACAAGCGATTTCATTGGATTAAAATTGGTTTCTAATGACGCTTTCTTGCCGAAATCTGCTACAATTTTGAGCACTTGAAATAAGGCAGCCAATCAAATTACAGCTGTGATATCAAGCTCGTGTTTGATAAATTTCAGAAGTTGGCGAAAGCTTTTTGTTAAATCGTGTTATTCTGAACGTTTTAAGCAGGAAATCATGATATATATTAAAAATATGGAACTTCGTGAATGTATCGTGCTAGGTTACGAGCTGTGACAAAGATTTTTCATGCATATATTTTTACATTAAACTTCGTGTCCGAGCCGAGAATTCAAGGCGACGAAAGCCAAGATGTCATTTGGCTTACATTACACGCAATCGCACAAAAAGATGGAAATAATAACTTAGATGTAAGTTTGATTACTTTTAGACATATTTTTGTTGATTTTATTTATTACTTTGTATAATATATTTAAAGATTTGTTTAAAACATCTTTATTTTGCTCTTTGACATGTTCGATGTGGACCCGTTGTCGAAATGTGTGTCCGAGAATTTTATTTTCAATAACATCGCGGGAAATAGTGAATAATTTTTTTAATTTATCGATAAAAAATGATAAATTGTAATGGAATACGTATTTCAGACATTGTGAAATGTGATAGATTTAATAAATGAATGATATTACAGGTAGGTCCATAAAAATATATACTATTTTGACGTGACTACGGCTTGGCCGATTCAACGTCCTACGGTGTCTGGGGACTCGATGCTTCTTGGCCGGAAAACCAGCCTACGGTGTTGAAAGAGTTAATTTATTGCTGACGAGATTGATATTTATAATTAAAATATGCCTTATATGGCAAAGGTAGGTTATTAATTCCTATTTTCCAAGCGTGCCATCGTTGCACGAAGATCATGATATAGCCGTGCCATTTTCATTTTAAGTGTGCGATGGCACGCAAAATACGGTTAATTTCTAGCCCTGGTAAAAAATAAACATTTCTAAAATACCTAAATAGCAAAAGGCACCAGTTCAGCATGAGTCTGATAGACATGCAAAGTTTTGCAGAGAAATGTTGAACGGTCCGGAAACGATTTCGGGATGCACACACACACCCACACGGATGGACGGACAGAACCCATTTCTATATCCCCTGCCAACCTCGTTGTGGCGGGGGATGAAAAGGGAGACCTTGTAAATTGACTTCCACATGTACCAAGCTGTATCCTTCACTAAATATTAGTGTCGCTTGAACGTACTTTTATGAATGTGAACCAGGACCCTCTAATATATTTGAGAATCTCCTGAAGCCTGCTTTGTTGCTTGCAACTACATTTACTATTGTTCTTGGAGAATATATCCAGTAATCTTTTCAGATACCAATGAAACAAGACTTCAGATGCTTTTCGATTTGTTTGTTTCTTGTTTAACGCAGCACTCAGCAATATTCCAGCAACATGGTGGCAGTCTGTAAATAATCAAGACTGCACCAGGCAATCCAGTGATTGACATCATGAGCATCTACATAATTCAGATATGATCATGATGATGACATGCATCAACCAAGTCACCGAGTCTGACCACCCCATTCCATTAATCATCTCTTATGATAAGCATAGGTTACTGAAGACCTTTCCATTTCAGATCTCACCTTAATATTAAGATACATACTGTTTCTCTGAGTGATGGATTTCTCTCGACGTTCTCAAGAGGTTGACATTCAGACCCATTATAATAATGAGGGGACTTCAAGGTTTTCTGCTCCCTGATTTTTAATCTAGGCACCCACTTAACATGAGGGATTGCGGCCTGTGGACATTCTTGCTTAATTCAAACACAAAGTTACTACTACTGCACAGTGAACTTTACACATAAGTTAGACAGTTGAGTGGTGACAAACTGTGCTTACCTGTAATCTCCAGTTCATACCAGGAAGACTTTTTACCCGCTGCTACATCCTCTGGTGACATAAGTGTATGTGTCCTCCTAGGGTTAGGTGACTCATACTTTTCCTTTGGCATTCTTGGAAATAGTACTGAAATCAAGAGCATTTACTGGTAACTTGTATGCCCATGTTAATATTTATTTCATGAACACAATAAGCATGAAATTATTTCTGATAATAAGCAAAATATCCTGGTTTCAAATGACAGCATTTATGCATGAATGTTGTTTGAGTGGTCGAGTTGGGGTTAACACTGTTTGAACAGTTATATCACACAAAGTGTCAGCTTAATATGGGAGAAAAGCCTGAAGTGATGCAGGTATCACACGTTTACAACTTTGATGGAACCCACGAGCACAGGAATGACACTGACAGACCTAGAAACATAATTGGGTTGAACCGGGATTCAAACCCACAATCATAGGTTTCTGGCGTGACCAAAGGACTTAGGTTGGGCCACCTGCCTGTACACTGTATACATGGTATACTGAGTACAAGACAAACAGCCTTTGTTTTATCCCCTAAATGTTGCGCAGAAAGCAGGGTAACAAAACGTACCACCTTCTATCTTCCCAACAGGGGAACGAACCCCTGATGTCCTACTCTCCAGGCAGAAGCTCTATCCACTAGACCATGGAGGCAGTCCTTTTGTGATTGTGATTGTGATAGGAGGTGGGTTACATTAGACCAGGTAGTAAACAGACTGTTATTGCAAAACTTTGAAAATATCTTCTTCTTTTTTAAATCGATTAGGAAATAACATATAAATCAAAATATGGTTAGGCGTATTGAGAATTAAATCATATATCTTAATTTCAAGATGAATCGATAGACCCTCAATTTTATTATTTCATTATTTAAGCCTCTTTGAACAGTACCTAAGTTATATCATAGAATGCACAAGAATGGATTACTGGGTATGGTGCCAACAGGTTGTACTCCCAATTGTTTACTTCTTCTCATATAGACAAGGTGACATGTTCAAATCAAGACAACAAAACCACAAAGGATTGTTGCTCATGACTTGTTAGCAGATTGTTACCATTATTACATCATGTACATGATGTGGAATCTTGTGCTTTCAAGAAAGGAAAGTGTGAAGGTCCTTCAGTTTGTTTCATGTGAGAGTACAGCATAATTTCAATGTCATATTCTTTTAACTTTAATATATGATAAATACCATGATTTCTTGTGAATCATACCATGACACATATCATGATAAACATCATCTATCTGAGTCTTCTTGTTTCCTAGAAGATGGGGCTCAACATCTTTTCCCCAAATAAAATATAAGTTTTTAATTTCTAAAAATAACTTTTTCTTGAAAATCACCCTATGAACAAATCCAAGTCATACTATGGTCCTATACATCTTTACATAATTTCAGCTGTCTATGCATTGTTATATTTAAGGACTTTCAAAATTTGAAATTTTACCATATTTTTAATTTAATCTTTTAATTTTTGTTTTAAATTATACTTGTATGAACAAAAATGAATCCCATTTGTTTCTACACATATCGATGTTACAGATTCCAAGACCGTATGGTCCAATTCTTCACATTATTTCATCAATTCCAAATTCTTTCAAAAATCAAAATATTGCTTTCAATCACATGAACATATCTCAGACCCATGATGATGCAAAACATTATCCAATATGTTCACGTTCATCCCTTCAGCTGGATTGCAGAAGACAAATGTCAACAGCTGGAACAATGACATCCAGTCAGACAGATATTGAGATAACGGACATCAATAAATTAATACTGTTGCAACATGATCATTATTTCGATTTTCATTGAGTCCAATACATACATGATCTACCAACCACATTTTGAATTTCTAAACATAATTTGATTTAATTCTAATTTTCTAAAAAAAATAAGTAAAAATATATATTATAATTTGCCAACCAAACACCCCCTTTAATCATGTTAATGTTTTAAATGTTTAGCTGTATGACATTTGTATGGCCCATAACCCACAACATGAGCGCAGCATAATACTCAACATGTTCAACAAGATTTGCTTCACTCCTGGAAACACTGACTTGGTTTGTGTCCTTAGCTATCAATGCAGTCTACACAGTACTTAAGTAGAGCCAAAACACTGGCATATAATGATAAACAAAAGGCAGTTTCCTTAGCAAATACCTATTGTGTGAAAGTACCCATATTCAGATTTCACAATTGAAACATCGAATTGGGGTTTTATATGTTACATGATGTTAATCAAAAGAAACACATTTCCAGATGTCAGAATATATCAGGCCTATTCAACAATGCTAAACTTCAACACTCCTAAACACTCTCACATTACTGTCAAGTACTAACTCTTCTAACAGTTATACTTGTAGTTCAATTGTCATGATCTGACTAATACTAATATAGAATATATGCAAAATAGCACCTTTATATTGTTCATGGGCATGCCATTATTATCTCATATTTATGAAGATATAAGACTTAATTTGAGTGTAAACTTAGAAAGAAGTAGCGTTTCATAATAAGGTTTGGCAACCTGAAACTAATATCAATTAATCAAATAATCAGATGCCTCACCAAGGGGTATGGTAAAGTTACAAAATCAAATAAAAGTCGTTTATCATTTGACCTTATTTCATTTTAACAAAAACGATTTTGACACATGACAATTCCAACTTTATGACAAGAAACACCTTCGTCTGGCGGAGAATTGATGACAATAGGTTTAATGGCAACAACCATTGGCGATCAAAGAATAATACCTTCATCGATAATCCTAAAAGGAATAAATAATTCAACGAGATCACTCAATCAGCTGTTTCAATTTTCTCGTAGCATCGATATTCTGTCTGAAGAAGAAAATGGCCGACTTTGATCTTCGGGTCCTTTACCGTTTATGTTAGAAGCGATTCTATTGGCTACCTCTCAAGAAAAAACGGTCGGAGGAAAAATATATGTACAAAATCGGGATAAACATCCCTTTGGTCAAATATCTGCTCAAAACGTACAAATTGAAATGCGAAATATAACTTTTAGAATATATTAACCGAATGAAATTACCTCCCTTATCAAATATGGCGACCTCCATAACAGGTGCGTGCTGTCAACAATGTTTATCCAGTGTAAATTAAAATGATTAAGTGGCGTTTTGAATTGATGGATTTTGTTCGTATATTTAGTGTTTAGTATATGGCTAACTAGCCATAATTATCCAACACTGTCAACATAAGCCCTTGCTACAATGTCGAAAACCATTCAAATTGAAACATCCGTGCAACAACATTTCTCAACTGAAATTGAAAATGACCAACTCATTGAAATAGTCGCTGAGAAGAATAGCTGGTTGGGTCTATCACCAGTTCCTCTTTAATAGCGCGTGAACTACTGCTTGTTAATTTACCTCCATGTGTTTTCATTACGCCACAGCAGGTCCGTATTTGTGTAAGGTGGGAGATCTATAATACGGACACCCTTCCCACTCAACATGAAAAAGACACATGCGGTAGAGGTCACGTGACCCATACCGTAAACAAATGGTGTTGTTCCTCTGTCTGAATTCATTTTTGTACCGATTGTGTAGTTAGTGGAGGCAATGCAATTCACAAATGGTACTTAGCTAGTGTTGTATGAAAGATGTTGATTATTAACATATTTTAAAAATTATAGAAGTCTTTGATGGGGCTTCAGAAGTTGGCATAGAACATCATGCAGTGTGTGTTTTTACTGTTCTTTTTGTAACATTCTATAAGACAGGAACCTTTTTATGGATAATAACTGCACATTGTTGGAAACAATGTTAAAACATGACATCTACAGAAAGTGGAAGAAACAATGTGGTGCACTGAAAAGTATCATAATATACTTCAAGGAATCACATTAATAATGAAAGCTCATTCTGCTTCCCTAATATTTATTTAAGAATTGACTTTTACTTTGTTAGAATTCATTGGAGGATGAAATTTATAGAGGGAGCACCATGCTGTATGAACGTTTAAGTTCTTATAAATTTTTATGTCACTATTTTTCACCTCAGGGTAGGTAGCACGAGATCCTTCAAAATATATTTAAAGTGGTACAAGTGACTTCATGTTTGCACTCAAAGTCTCTGGCTTTTTTCAATGTATGCTAAAATGCAGAGTCCAAGATTACAGGATCTAAACGATCAGAAGCAATGCTTCTATATGTATTCATGCTAGGGAGATCCCAGGGTTTTTCCCAGGAATGTGGAAGTACTCGTCAGTGTTGACATAATTTCAAGAATACAGTCTCATGAAAAACATATGAACATCAAATTGTGTTGTGCATATACTTATTAACGACAGTTTCGAGGTCATGACCGACCTATCATCCAATGGAAAAGCTGTATATCGTGTAAACTTCACATTAAGACATTGTATGTCCATATACGGTTAAACCATACATATATATACATATAAATATCACATGCTTCAAGAGTAAGCCTGAGTGCACTGGCACTGAGAATGAAGTCATACTTCACCCCTTTACTTATATATACTGGGGGCTCGGGTGGCCCATTCGTCGTGCAGAGTTGCATCCCTTGGGCTCGCCTGAAACCAATGATTGTTGGTTCAAATCCCGGTTCACCCCGATTATGTTTCTAGGTTTGTCAGCACCATACCTGTGCTCGTGGGTTTCACTGAAGTGATAAACTTCTGAGACCTGCATCACATCGGGCTTTCCTCCCACATTAAGCTGACACGCTGTGATAAAACTGGAATAATGTTAAAAGCGGCATTAAACCCAACTCACTCACTCACTTACATAATAATACTTAATAATTTGTCTCTCAAATGGAAGAAATAATATTTTTTGCCCTTTCATCAAGCTTTGAGTTACAAAATAACTAAAAAAAAGAAGAAAAAAAGTTTGAAGGGTGTGGTATAAATATTATTTGACTAAATTCTACAAACACCAAATTACCTTCCAGACTCTCATGACTATATGGACATGCTTGTTCCCCCAAATGAGGAGGTGCGGTGGGGGGGGGGGGGGGGGGGGGGAAGGCCCGGGTTCTATGCCCGACATGGGTACAATGTGTGAAGCTCATTCACTGGTGTCCCCCGGGAATATTTCTAAAAGCAGCATAAAACAATACTCACTCACTCAAATGAGGGCACTGCAGTGTTGTTTCTGTACATCAGGGTAGTAACTATTTGTGTGTTTCTGTATATCAGGGTAGTAACTATTTGTTGTTTCTGTATATCAGGGTAGTAACTATTTGTTGTTTCTGTATATCAGGGTAGTAACTATTTGTTGTTTCTGTATATAGGGGTAGTAACTATCTTGTTTCTGTATTTCAGGGTAGTAACTGTTTGTGTGTTTCTGTATATCAAGGTAGTAACTATTTGTTGTTTCTGTATATCAGGGTAGTAACTATTTGTTGTTTTTGTATATAGGGGTAGTAACTATCTTGTTTCTGTATATCAGGGTAGTAACTATTTGTGTGTTTCTGTATATCAACATAGTAACTATTTGTTGTTTCTGTATATCAGGGTAGTAACTATTTGTTGTTTTTGTATATAGGGGTAGTAATTATCTTGTTTCTGTATATAAGTGTAGTAACTATTTGTGTGTTTCTGTATATCAAGGTAGTAACTATTTGTTGTTTCTGTATATCAGGGTAGTAACTATTTGTTGTTACTGTAAATAGTCAAAGTAACTACTTGTTACTGTATATTGGGGTAGTTCCAGATTCAGGCTGATTATGATTCTGGTCTGTCAACACCATACCTGAGCTTGTTAGTTTCATAAAAGTGTTTGTCATATCCCTAAACACCTTAACGTCTAGTTATATATATATAAAAGTGTTCTCTTCAATTTCCATTCCTAGCACTAAGACCCGTGCTTCTGGTTCAACTACGATCAGCATTGTTGCAGCGAGCCACTCCCTCACTCGCCGTGACACCGGTCAGATGGAAGGTGACGAAGAGTCAGAAGTTGCGCACGCCTCATGTAGCCAAGGAGAAGGAGAAATGGGTGAAAGCAAAAGCAGTGAGGTCAGTTGAGGTCAGATGAGAGGCTTGCTGCCGGTGGTGGCTTACTGGTATCACAGACAAATCATGACGTGTGTCGATATTGATCATTGTATGTCTGTGCTGCTGTGAAGTTCTCCTTGATTACCCATATGTTATAACTGTAGAATACCTAACAATCATCTACACAAAGTGTTACGAGGCGCTTTCCTGATTGAAACGCAGTGGTTAACTCGGAAATCAGTACTTACAGAAATAACGCAGTGGTTAACTCGGAAATCAGTACTTACAGAACTAACGCAGTGGTTAACTCGGAAATCAGTACTTACCAAACTAACGCAGTGGTTAACTTGAAAATCAGTACTTACAGAACTAACGCAGTGGTTAACTTGAAAATCAGTACTTACAGAACTAACGCAGTGGTTAACTCGGAAATCAGTACTTACAGAATTAACGCAGTGGTTAACTCGGAAATCAGTACTTACCGAACTAACGCAGTGGTTAACTCGGAAATCAGTACTTACCGAACTAACGCAGTGGTTAACTCGGAAATCAGTACTTACAGAATTAACGCAGTGGTTAACCCGGAAATCAGTACTTACAGAACTAACGCAGTGGTTAACTCGGAAATCAGTACTTACCGAACTAACGTGTCAAGTCTGTAAATGTCCACAAAAAATCAATAAATAATCAACACATAAGGCTAAAAAAATAATAGTCTTGGTTCTCAGGCTCCGCCCACATCATTATAAAGTCTGCCGCACATTTCGTTTTTATTTCCATTTTAATTTTTTTTTAAATCCTGATATTTAAAAACAATGCGATCCAATATAGCACACAGTTACTTCCTTTTACATGGTATGCATCTCGTGTTATGGTCATAGGAGTTCTTATGCTTGTGTGTGTAGTAGGGAGGCCCTTTACCATATTGTTGGCACACAACTGTTTATTTGGTTAAATAGTTGTTTGGACAAGCCAAAAAAAAACACACAAAAAAACGCCAACCCGTACTATGTTTTCAAAAGTCATTGCCTGGGAACCAATTTTTTAATATTTTTTCAAGCCTTATGTTGAAACACACAATCACAAAAGACAATACACTGGGTAAAATAAGTGCCAGCAGCAGCAAGTAGCAGGCCCTGCATTATATATCAGTGCACTATCAAATGTCTGGAAACTGTTCTTGAGACTGGAATAGTGTTGTAAGCTGGCAGAAACAACTGGATGCCGTTGTAGAAAACAACCTTTACTCAGGTGGACCTTAGTGACTTAGGTTAAGCTCAAGGTAACCTCGACAAAAAGTTATGCCCGTTGCACAAAACTACATTTGGATAACCTTAACGTTGACAGGATCATCTAGATTGAAAACTCACTAACAAATAACTTCTGAACTCTGAACTGTTGTACTTTACTTCAATGCCTGATTGGTTGGCCTTGATGTTCCTCTCACAAACTAATACGAAATGCAAAAAAGATTTAATCTCAGTCAGTTTACAACGTTGATCACTGATACTTGATTTTTTTTTTTTCATTATCAAAACTAAGGCTTAAAAAAATAAAAGAATTGGTTCTCCGGCAATATTTTTTTTAAATATAGTGTGGGAGGCGGTGTTTTTTTGTGTGTGTTTTTTGGTGGGGGGGTGTTCAAACAAGTATGTAACCAAATAAACAGTTGTGTAACCAGATAAACATTTGTGTACAATCAACCTGGGAATGGGCCTCCTCACATAAATGTATTCCTTGATAAGTAAAATACTGGAAAACAGTATGTGATTACCGTTGGACTTATTTATGGATTTTTTTATATTTAAAAAAATTGGAAATATAAGTAAAACATGCGTCAAACTTTATGATGATGCAGGCAGTGCCAGAGAACCAAGACTATTTTTTTTTTTAGCCTAAGGTAATTGTTTTGAAAAACAATAAGTGATCATGACTTGGATGAACAATTGATTACAGGCTGGAGAAGGAAAAAGACAAGTCTAAGGAGCATCCCAACTGGATGAACAGGAAGCCAGTTGATGATGTGTGGATCAGGGGGCGTTACCCTCCTCAGTGCCACGCCCTAGAGGAATGTGTGCAGCGACATAAAGAATACGCACATCCCAGCATGTTTGATAATATGGATGGACTGCTGTATGCAGACCTGGAGCTGAATATGTCCACAAAAAAGAAGGTTTGTTCCCTGTCTTTGAGGAGTGGTGGGGTGGCCAAGTGGTTCACTCATCATGGCAGAGGCCTGGGTTCAGTTCCCCACATGGGTGCAGTGTGTGAAGCCCTCTTTTAGTCTCTCTGTGATATTGTGGAATATTGCTAAAACCAGCGTAAAACCAACTCACTGTCTTTGTAGCATGGGTGTACGATATGTATTGACAGTTTCCATTTCACATTGCTACCTTGTTTCAGCACAGTCAGAACATAAACTGAACAATTAAAGAAACAATTAATTGTCTATTGTGATCGTTGTAGATTTAAATTTACATAATATTTCTGTATATGTCACAGAGTGATATACATCATTGTTATTTATGAGTTGAAAAAATTCACTATGTTTGGAAAACAAATTCCAGTATGAAGAAAGATTAGTTATGTGTTTGGAACTTTCACATCAATAAGAAAAGTTACAGTTGTTTTAAAGTTGTCCAGCACATCTTCTGTGAGACCAGTAAGCTTGCACATCTCATTGTACCTTTTTAATATGGTCCTATTCCATTTCAGACCAAGTTCATGCGGAATATCAGCTCAACACTGATGTTGCCCCATACTTTTGAAGAAAATGTTGTAAAGAAATGTGCAGTGTTCTGCAAGGTTTGTTACTGTAGTCCTCAGCTATAAATAAGGCATTAGGGACCAACCACCCGATGTTCTGCAAGGTTTGTTACTGTGGTCCTCAGCTATACATAAGGCATTAGGGACCAACCACCCAATGTTCTGCAAGGCTTGTTACTGTAGTCCTCAGCTATACATAAGGCATTAGGGACCAACCACCCGATGTTCTGCAAGGTTTGTTACTGTGGTCCTCAGCTATACATAAGGCATTAGGGACCAACCACCCGATGTTCTGCAAGGTTTGTTACTGTTGTCCTCAGCTATACATAAGACATTAGGGACCAACCACCCGATGTTCTGCAAGGTTTGTTACTGTGGTCCTCAGCTATACATAAGGCATTAGGGACCAACCACCCAATGTTCTGCAAGGCTTGTTACTGTAGTCCTCAGCTATACATAAGGCATTAGGGACCAACCACCCAATGTTCTGCAAGGTTTGTTACTGTAGTCCTCAGCTATACATAAGGCATTAGGGACCAACCACCTGATGTTCTGCAAGGTTTGTTACTGTAGTCCTCAGCTATACATAAGGCATTAGGGACCAACCACCCGATGTTCTGCAAGGCTTGTTACTGTAGTCCTCAGCTATACATAAGGCATTAGGGACCAACCACCCGATGTTCTGGAAGGTTTGTTACTGTAGTCCTCAGCTATACATAAGGCATTAGGGACCAACCACCTGATGTTCTGCAAGGTTTGTTACTGTAGTCCTCAGCTATACATAAGGCATTAGGGACCAACCACCCGATGTTCTGCAAGGTTTGTTACTGTAGTCCTCAGCTATACATAAGACATTAGGGACCAACCACCCGATGTTCTGCAAGGTTTGTTACTGTAGTCCTCAGCTATACATAAGGCATTAGGGACCAACCACCCGATGTTCTGCAAGGTTTGTTACTGTAGTCCTCAGCTATACATAAGGCATTAGGGACCAACCACCCAATGTTCTGCAAGGCTTGTTACTGTAGTCCTCAGCTATACATAAGGCATTAGGGACCAACCACCTGATGTTCTGCAAGGTTTGTTACTGTAGTCCTCAGCTATACATAAGGCATTAGGGACCAACCACCCGATGTTCTGCAAGGTTTGTTACTGTGGTCCTCAGCTATACATAAGGCATTAGGGACCAACCACCCAATGTTCTGCAAGGTTTGTTACTGTAGTCCTCAGCTATACATAAGACATTAGGGACCAACCACCTGATGTTCTGCAAGGTTTGTTACTGTGGTCCTCAGCTATACATAAGGCATTAGGGACCAACCACCTGATGTTCTGCAAGGTTTGTTACTGTAGTCCTCAGCTATACATAAGACATTAGGGACCAACCACCTGATGTTCTGCAAGGTTTGTTACTGTAGTCCTCAGCTATACATAAGACATTAGGGACCAACCACCTGATGTTCTGCAAGGTTTGTTACTGTAGTCCTCAGCTATACATAAGACATTAGGGACCAACCACCCGATGTTCTGCAAGGTTTGTTACTGTAGTCCTCAGCTATACATAAGGCATTAGGGACCAACCACCCGATGTTCTGCAAGGTTTGTTACTGTGGTCCTCAGCTATACATAAGGCATTAGGGACCAACCACCTGATGTTCTGCAAGGTTTGTTACTGTAGTCCTCAGCTATACATAAGGCATTAGGGACCAACCACCCGATGTTCTGCAAGGTTTGTTACTGTAGTCCTCAGCTATACATAAGACATTAGGGACCAACCACCTGATGTTCTGCAAGGTTTGTTACTGTAGTCCTCAGCTATACATAAGGCATTAGGGACCAACCACCTGATGTTCTGCAAGGTTTGTTACTGTAGTCCTCAGCTATACAAAAGGCATTAGGGACCAACCACCTGATGTTCTGCAAGGTTTGTTACTGTGGTCCTCAGCTATACATAAGACATTAGGGACCAACCACCTGATGTTCTGCAAGGTTTGTTACTGTTGTCCTCAGCTATACATAAGACATTAGGGACCAACCACCTGATGTTCTGCAAGGTTTGTTACTGTTGTCCTCAGCTATACATAAGACATTAGGGACCAACCACCTGATGTTCTGCAAGGTTTGTTACTGTGGTCCTCAGCTATACATAAGGCATTAGGGACCAACCACCTGATGTTCTGCAAGGTTTGTTTACTGTAGTCCTCAGCTATACATAAGGCATTAGGGACCAACCACCCGATGTTCTGCAAGGTTTGTTACTGTTGTCCTCAGCTATACATAAGACATTAGGGACCAACCACCCGATGTTCTGCAAGGTTTGTTACTGTAGTCCTCAGCTATACATAAGACATTAGGGACCAACCACCCGATGTTCTGCAAGGTTTGTTACTGTAGTCCTCAGCTATACATAAGGCATTAGGGACCAACCACCCAATGTTCTGCAAGGTTTGTTACTGTAGTCCTCAGCTATACATAAGGCATTAGGGACCAACCACCCGATGTTCTGCAAGGCTTGTTACTGTAGTCCTCAGCTATACATAAGGCATTAGGGACCAACCACCCAATGTTCTGCAAGGTTTGTTACTGTTGTCCTCAGCTATACATAAGGCATTAGGGACCAACCACCCGATGTTCTGCAAGGTTTGTTACTGTTGTCCTCAGCTATACATAAGGCATTAGGGACCAACCACCCAATGTTCTGCAAGGCTTGTTACTGTAGTCCTCAGCTATACATAAGGCATTAGGGACCAACCACCCGATGTTCTGCAAGGTTTGTTACTGTAGTCCTCAGCTATACATAAGGCATTAGGGACCAACCACCTAATGTTCTGCAAGGTTTGTTACTGTTGTCCTCAGCTATACATAAGGCATTAGGGACCAACCACCTAATGTTCTGCAAGGTTTGTTACTGTTGTCCTCAGCTATACATAAGGCATTAGGGACCAACCACCCAATGTTCTGCAAGGTTTGTTACTGTTGTCCTCAGCTATACATAAGGCATTAGGGACCAACCACCCAATGTTCTGCAAGGCTTGTTACTGTAGTCCTCAGCTATACATAAGGCATTAGGGACCAACCACCTAATGTTCTGCAAGGCTTGTTACTGTAGTCCTCAGCTATACATAAGACATTAGGGACCAACCACCTGATGTTCTGCAAGGTTTGTTACTGTAGTCCTCAGCTATACATAAGACATTAGGGACCAACCACCCGATGTTCTGCAAGGTTTGTTACTGTGGTCCTCAGCTATACATAAGGCATTAGGGACCAACCACCCGATGTTCTGCAAGGCTTGTTACTGTAGTCCTCAGCTATACATAAGACATTAGGGACCAACCACCCGATGTTCTGCAAGGTTTGTTACTGTAGTCCTCAGCTATACATAAGGCATTAGGGACCAACCACCCGATGTTCTGCAAGGCTTGTTACTGTAGTCCTCAGCTATACATAAGGCATTAGGGACCAACCACCCGATGTTCTGCAAGGTTTGTTACTGTAGTCCTCAGCTATACATAAGGCATTAGGGACCAACCACCCGATGTTCTGCAAGGTTTGTTACTGTTGTCCTCAGCTATACATAAGGCATTAGGGACCAACCACCCAATGTTCTGCAAGGCTTGTTACTGTAGTCCTCAGCTATACATAAGGCATTAGGGACCAACCACCCGATGTTCTGCAAGGTTTGTTACTGTAGTCCTCAGCTATACATAAGGCATTAGGGACCAACCACCTAATGTTCTGCAAGGTTTGTTACTGTTGTCCTCAGCTATACATAAGGCATTAGGGACCAACCACCTAATGTTCTGCAAGGTTTGTTACTGTTGTCCTCAGCTATACATAAGGCATTAGGGACCAACCACCCAATGTTCTGCAAGGTTTGTTACTGTTGTCCTCAGCTATACATAAGGCATTAGGGACCAACCACCCAATGTTCTGCAAGGCTTGTTACTGTAGTCCTCAGCTATACATAAGGCATTAGGGACCAACCACCTAATGTTCTGCAAGGCTTGTTACTGTAGTCCTCAGCTATACATAAGACATTAGGGACCAACCACCTGATGTTCTGCAAGGTTTGTTACTGTAGTCCTCAGCTATACATAAGACATTAGGGACCAACCACCCGATGTTCTGCAAGGTTTGTTACTGTGGTCCTCAGCTATACATAAGGCATTAGGGACCAACCACCCGATGTTCTGCAAGGCTTGTTACTGTAGTCCTCAGCTATACATAAGACATTAGGGACCAACCACCCGATGTTCTGCAAGGTTTGTTACTGTAGTCCTCAGCTATACATAAGACATTAGGGACCAACCACCCGATGTTCTGCAAGGTTTGTTACTGTAGTCCTCAGCTATACATAAGGCATTAGGGACCAACCACCCGATGTTCTGCAAGGTTTGTTACTGTAGTCCTCAGCTATACATAAGGCATTAGGGACCAACCACCCGATGTTCTGCAAGGTTTGTTACTGTAGTCCTCAGCTATACATAAGGCATTAGGGACCAACCACCTGATGTTCTGCAAGGTTTGTTACTGTAGTCCTCAGCTATACATAAGGCATTAGGGACCAACCACCTGATGTTCTGCAAGGTTTGTTACTGTAGTCCTCAGCTATACATAAGGCATTAGGGACCAACCACCCGATGTTCTGCAAGGTTTGTTACTGTAGTCCTCAGCTATACATAAGGCATTAGGGACCAACCACCTGATGTTCTGCAAGGTTTGTTACTGTAGTCCTCAGCTATACATAAGGCATTAGGGACCAACCACCTAATGTTCTGCAAGGTTTGTTACTGTAGTCCTCAGCTATACATAAGACATTAGGGACCAACCACCTGATGTTCTGCAAGGTTTGTTACTGTAGTCCTCAGCTATACATAAGACATTAGGGACCAACCACCCGATGTTCTGCAAGGTTTGTTACTGTAGTCCTCAGCTATACATAAGACATTAGGGACCAACCACCCGATGTTCTGCAAGGTTTGTTACTGTAGTCCTCAGCTATACATAAGGCATTAGGGACCAACCACCTGATGTTC